TTTTTTAGATATTAATATGTATCTTCAAGGACCTGTCATTAAAAAAATATAGATTGTTTTATGAGTGACACCATGTCCTTTTTCAAAAGCCTTCAGTTTAAAGGGATAGTTCACACAAAAATGAAAATGTACTCACTATTTACTCACCCTCAAGTGGTTTATTTGATCAGTTTTATGTTTTTTTCTGTAAAATAATATTAGAAACTGGTAACCATTTACATCCATATTAGGAAAACAAATATGGAAAGTAAATTTTGGGTGGTCCTCCCCACTGACAAAGTCCAGAATTTGGCCCTTACATGAGCCCATTTGTCCCATTATTGACAGCATGTCATCATAAATTTAAGAAGGCTTTAATACAAATTTTATTTTTAATTATTCAAATGGATAAATTCTGACTGAGGAAATGAGTTTATTATATACTCATAGGCTACAGTTTTTGATTTAAAACAAGTTTTAACAGATTCCTAATTCTTTATTTTTTAAGACAGTGATGCATGATTATAAATTTGTATTTTAAAAATAAGTATTTTCATATTTCTCTATTCTATTATTTTAATTTAAAATTCTAATCTCGTAACATTATTTAATATTTTACCATTTAAAAACACAATCGTAAATAAATCCTTTGCTAAAAGCACTTTGACAAATTAAAGGAAATATTTTTGTTGCTTTAAAAAGTGTGATAACGATCACCATCTGACAAGTTAATCCAGCAAAGAGTAGTGCTTAAAATGTCATTAAAATGCAGTATTTGAACCTCATAATTTAATAGAAAATTAGACTAATACCTGGAAAAATGTCAATTTTTTAATAAGAAGAGCCACCACTGTCAATAGGCTGGCTAGGGTGAATAGGTTTACGGTTAGCTGCATTTAATTACGTGCATTAATTATAAGTACAAGGAACATGTGCTACAACTGCATATTACCATTATACGTTTCTTTAGTCTTAACATTCACAGACCAGTTCAGATAAAAACAAAATAGTACATTATATATTCATAAGGTTCCAAATAGGTGCATCAAAGGGACGTCAGCACATTACTGGTGTGCTTTATAGCTTGCATTGGCTCCCAGTTCAGTCCCGTATCCTTTTTAAAACAGTCACACTTGCATATAAAGCTCTACATGATACCGCTCCTTCCTATATCTGTGACATTGTCTCTCAGTATACACCTTCTCGCTTCCTGCGGTCTGCTGATCCTCTCACCCTTCAACAACCACCTTGTAGACTAAAATCAATGGGAGAGAGAGCTTTCTCTGTTGCTGCACCTTGGTTATGGAATGCTCTCCCTTACTCTGTATAAGAAATGCTTCCACACTAGCTAGTTTTAAGAAGATTCTAAAACTCATCCTTTTTAAGACTGCATTTTTAGATTCCTGATTATTCTGTGTTTATTTTATTTTTTAATGTATACTTGTATTTTATTGCATGTTTGATTTCTCTGTTGTAGCGCTTTGGGTCTTAGAAAAGTGCATTATAAATAAAATAAATAAAATGTATTATTATAGTTCAACCAAAATACAATTATACTCTCACTGTGCATTTCCAATAATGTAAAAATTTTATTTTTTTAATTCCCACTGTGAAAAAACATTATGGCATTTTTTTTTTCGGTATGTTAATTGCATGGAACTTTTAAAGAATTTTTTTTTTTTTTAATACGAAATTGTACAAAGTTTCTTTGTGTAACCATTGAACTAAACTATTTTGTTGTAGCATACTAGTTGGTTATTTTGGTTATTTTAGGAACATTTTACTGTTTTAGGAACCAAAATTTAATTGCATCTTATATTCTTATACTTATCCACTTATCTTGCATCACACTCTTTATTTAGATAATTGTTACATGAGAAACATTTAAAATTCAAACCTTTTCATTACATCATTTTTCTTTTTATGAAAAATGTATGTTCACCTTAAAGTAAAAAAACTTGATTTTGCTGCTTGTTCAAACTACTTATTTAAGTGAAGTTTTCAAACTAATTTCGAGAGGAGCATGTGATATGATCATGGCTGGTTTCTCATCCATAATCAGCAATAATCCAATCAGATTTATCAAAGCCTATAAATAGACCGATTTCATCCTATTGCCTTATCTTCATTTTGAAAGAGTCCCTTCTTCCACCCCATCTCCTCCTTTTACCAGGGGAGCTTGCCAGATCTGATCTTGGACCCCTCTTATGCTTACTGACCAGGCTCAGGGCTCTCCTGCAGCATGTCAAACCTGCTAATAGCATCAAGCAATATCTAAGTGTGAACTCTTGAAAATGAATTGAAATAACACAATTCTTAAATTGTTTTTTTGACACCTTAATTATTTAATATTCAATCTACTTCAATTTATATATTTTTAAAAATGATTAAGTTAACTTAAATGATTTGTGTTGGGACAACAAGAAAAACTTGTATGTAAGCCAGGATTTTTTTTACTAGTAACACAGTGTCGATCTGCAAAAGCCCTCTGTTTAAAGGGATAGTTCAACCAAAAATTTAAACTATTTACTCACCCTCAAGTGGTTTCAAACGTTTATCAGCTTATGTTTTTTTCTGTAAAAAATATTAGAAACTGGTAACCATTTACATGCATAGTAGGAAAACAAATATGGAAAGTCAATGGCCACCCTTTACCAAAATTCTTCAAAAACTCTGAATAAAGAAACTGAAAACAGCTTGTGACAAGTGACGTATAATGTATTACTGAATTTTCAGTCCCTTTAAGTGTTTTGCAGCATAACAATTTAACTTTCCATATTTACATAAATTACTTTAAAATTAGCAGAATCTGAGATTTTGCATGGTATTTAAATAATTTGTTCACTTTCTCACATGAAGCAATCACAGTACTTGAAATACAGGTCAGCCCTGATAAGTTATCTGATGGTGCTGCCACTCTCTCTCTCTCTCTCTCTCTCTCTCTCTAAGAGGCGAATGGCAGCTTCTTATCTCTCTCAGGTTCATATCTTTCACTAACAGCAGCAGGAAAAACAAAAGCTTGATCCCCTGAGCTGACAAAAATTTACATTATAGCTAAGGATAAACTTTGCCTGCGGCTTTCTAGCAGTATATCGACAACTGTGACCTCGTCTTTTTGTAGCACACATAAACAAAATATAAGATAGCTTTTACCTTAAGATAGGCCTATACCTTAAACTTTAAGATAGGCTTATGTCTATAAATTTATAAACTTTATGGTCAATTTTAATTCAGGGTTATATTTTCTATTATGATTATGGAAATAAATAGGCTACAACTAGATTTGTGTTGGGACAACAAGTCGAAATTGTGTGCAACCCATGCGTTTTTTACAGTGTAGTTTGGTGATGAACAATATGTTGTCTGGACGTACATTTTTAAGTCCTTCATGATATAAATATCACTAACAGAGCAGCTCATGTTTCTATTTTCCCCTTGGGAATTGAGTTATGATTCCATTACACCCCTTTAAAACCAAAACAGCTCACAGCATTTGCTGAGGAAACAATAACAAAAGCTTCGAGCGACATCTTGTGGTCTGACACACGAAATGATTCTTTTTTCTTGCGATGTATCATCACTGTTTTGGAATGATTTAAGTTCATATTGTTTTTTTAAGATTAATATGAGTGGTAATTTGCACCTTAAGTATGTCATTTGTTATTTTGAAAACCAAAACAAGTCGTTAGAAGCCACTGTGAACTTTCTAATACTTGCTGGGAAAAATTTACTTTCACAAACAGGTTCCTTAAAAAAATAAAATAAAATAAAATCTGTCGACTTTCTTATCCATCTAATGTGATTATTGTGTAAAAGAACTGTTATCTTTAACTGTATTTTAAGTTATATTATACAGTTTCTTAAAGTTAATTAAAAATAAATAAACAAAAAATTAAAAACTACATCTTTATGTAGTACTAAATAATTGATGTTTTCTCAAATTGACTGACCATCTTACCAAAAACATTATTTGAAATATGTCCATTTAGATTTGTATAAAAAATATAGTTGACTATTTGTAAAATAAAAAAACACTTTTTGATAAGATTTTTTTTATTTTCAAATATAACACTGATAATAAAGAGTTTTCATTCTTTTACACAATCAGTTTGTGTATTTACTCTTTTTTTACTTGTGAAATTACCACATTTGTGAAAGCGACAACAATTATAGCACTATTGGAATAAATTGTTACCTGAATTACTAATAATTATGCATGATAACAAATATCAGTAAATTAACAGATATGAAAAACATCTGAGCTAGCAATTTACTCTACTGAGTGAAGCCTGCAGCCACTGCTCTTTTGAGTCACTGTTTAAAATGGCTAAAAGTAGCCAAATGTATGTTAAAAATCGCTTTTTTTTTTGCTTGGTGCTTTTTGAAAAAAGTTGCTTGGGTAGTTTGAAAAGTTGCTAAATCTAGCAATATATATGGCAACAAAATAGCTAAGTTGGCAACACTGGATTGAATTAATGCTGTAGTAGCTAATGTTCATAATTAGTCAATGTTAGTAGTAAATACATTAAGCTAACTGATGAAACCTAATTGTAAAGCGTGACACAAATTGCCATTCAGTGTATTAATAAGTTACATATGGGAAGTCTTAATTTGATATAGATAGTAATTTCAGTACAGCGTTCTTGATCCTTATCTGAGGTGGAAGTCTACACAGCACTACTGTTACATTGAACTACGCAGAATATTATGAAACTTGTTTTCATAAAAGCAGATAACGCTCATAAATTGCACAATTTCAAAATAATGATGCCGATGACTGGGATGTGGAACTCTGATAACCGTGGGTGTGAATGAAAACAACGCAGCTCATTGAAGCAAACGCATCCCGCCCTATTCTGCTTTACTATTGGCTAAAAGTCACGTCAGTCTCACGTACGCGCGCTCTCATTGGTCGCCCCAGCGCGTTTTTTGATGACGTAGCCGCTTGACCTTCTTGTACTACAATACGATTGGACAGTCCGCGAGTCCACCATCAACTGCATGTTTCTATTGGTAAGCTTAAACACGCCTGTCCTCCATTGCCCAAATCTCACATTTGAAGGTTAAAGTCAGTCAGTGTTCATCATACCGCACTTCAATCCAGCGGTAACCACTCTCCCCCCTCTTCTCTACATTTACAGACCCATTAAACCAGCAAAATGTCGATATTTGGTGAAGTCCCACAGGCTGCTCCTGTCGCAGTGTTCAAACTGACAGCAGATTTCCGTGAGGATCAGGATCAGAAGAAGGTGAATCTGGGAGTCGGAGGTGAGAGATGCGCTAGAAACACACACACAGATTTGCATATCTAGATATACATAAGTGTGTGTGTGTGTGTGTGTGTGTGTGTGTGTGTCAGAATAATGCATGCTTTGGCTGAGTTCATACTGTTATCCTCTTACTGTGACAACAATAGGCCTTTTCAATAAAACAAGACCTGCTTATCTGCTTCTGTACTGCTCATTTAGAATGAATTGCATTTAAATAAGCCCCATGTGTTTTTAAATTATGATACTGGAGGACACAGCACGTGAGCTCAGATCAGCTGTTTTCTGCAATCCAATAGCAGCATCAGTAACATGAGATTCTTCATGCATTATGATCTGACATTTAACGTTAACTGTCTCTGATTAACTGAATGTAAATATATAACTGTAGGCAGTGTGTACTGTATGCTGATTTTCCATTAGATTTTAGATTAATGTTACATAATATATATATATATATATATATATATATATATATATATATATATATATATATATATATATATATATATATATATGGTCTGAGCATTAAAATCATACATATAAACTTTTAACGCTGTTTTAATATCATTTTAATATTTTATATATATATCAGGGTTCATGTGTATTTTTACTACAAAAATTCCATGACATTTCCAAAACTTTTAGGTAAATATTCATGACCTAATGTTTTATGTAATGCGATGTACATGTAGTAAATGAGAAAAAAATTGTCTAAAAAATGTTCAAATGTATTTTAGCATATCAAAAAAAAAAAAATGTGATAATCTGTTTATTTTTATTTTATACCAGTAAAATCGCTTTTAGAAAATATCTTGTGTGAAAATTTTTAAAAATGTTTGCTTGTGTCTTAGGCTAAAGGCTAAATTAGCGCAAATTAGCCTTTAGCACACACATTATCCTACCTCTGTAGTAGTTATTAGAGATTGTTGCTGGACATGACACTCAAAATGTATCTTGAATTATGACAAATGCAAGTGAAAGAGAGGTAAAGCTAAAACTGCAAGTTGCTTTTTGCCCCACACAGAGAATGTCACGTGAAGGGATAGACATCGCAATTGTATTTGAAATTTACCCAATATTATCTTCTCAAATACATTAAAGTACACAGATATTTGTTTTGCAAATTTCCATGACTTTTTCAAAACATTTTGGGTTTACTTATTTTTCCCAAAATTTTCCAGGCCTTACAAAAATTTTTCTGTACAAAAAAAGTTTTCCAGTATCATAAGAACCTATATATATATATATAGAGAGAGAGAGAGAGAGAGAGAGAGAGAGATAGATAGATAGATAGATAGATAGATAGATAGATAGATAGATAGATAGATAGATAGATAGATAGATAGATAGATAGATAGATAGATAGATGATGTTTTAGTATTATTTAAAATTCCTCTCCCATTTAGTCACGCTTAATGTACTGGAAACAATAATGGTAATACTCTTATTACTGCTACTAATACTTTATGTTAAAAAAAATGCTTACACATGTATTTTACAATTTTAAAATCTCTTTGCCTCCGGGTAAAAGGAACAAAAACAGCTTTTAGTTTTAGGAAACTTTACTTTTCTGTTCACTGCATAAGCCACACAACATAATATATTTTATCACACTGACATTAAAGTCATGTCATTTAGCTCCAATGGCATCTAGGGCTTCTAAATATATCTAGGAGATCCTGATCCTGCTCTCTCAAGACAAATCAGCTGTGGATAGATTAAAAAAAAACATATTTGCTCATTATATATATCTAAAAGGTATAATAAAAGTTATCCTGGCACTGGTCGGCCATTCACTTGTGCAGCGCTGTTAGCTGTGGATGAATAGATTGTGTTCTGTCAACAGTATTATTGTGCAGAAGCAGGGGTTATCTGTCATCTGCTGTGTAGTTATTCCTGATCCTGGTTAGTCAGCTTGACCTTGGAGGATTGTGTCAGGATTATCTTTATCTTCTGCTTTTCCTGACACCCAGCAGACACCGAACGTGACTCCTGAGTGAAAGATGAAAGTCACCTCTTTGAAAAGCCCTGAGTCATGGTTGTTTGTGCATTTTTTTGTGACCACCTCCCTCTAGTCTGTGGTCTTTCCTCAGTGTCAATGCTGAAATGATTATCTCTCTTGAGCAACCCTGAAAAACACACTGATTTTTATGTGCTTTCTGAAGATGTTCGCTGCAAGAAAACGATATTTTGTTGTGCATGTGAATTAACTTAAAATATTAGTATTATTGTTTTGAATATTGAAGATTATAGACCATATTAAGTGCAACACATTAAGATTATCACTTATTTTTATTTCAGTCGTTAAAATATAATAATAAATGTGCTATATTAATATATTGATTGATTGGCACTTCAACTTCAACTGTATAATCAACTTTATGAAAATATTGCTGTGCCTCACAAAACTCATGTAATTCAGATATTGACCAGTAATAAACAGAACAGATGTTTTGTTCTGCATGTGTTTTGGATTTTAAAAGAAAAGCTGCAGCAGGATATCAGAACAGAAGTACACGTTATTGTCGAATAAGCACATTTTGCTCATGGTTGAAAGTTCACAGATAAATCCTGATCCTAGACTGCACTGATAAAATAGGAACAATTGAGTATGATTGATACTGAATAGAAAGGAATTCACTGAAATTTGTAGTGTAATATACAGTTGTTGAAGACATAATCATTAGCCCTCATTCATTCATTTTCTTGTCGGCTTAGTCCCTTTATTAATCTGGGGTTGCCACAGCGGAATGAACCGGCAACTTATCCAGCAAGTTTTTACACAGCGGATGCCCTTTCAGCCGCAACCCATCTCTGGCAAACATCCACACACACACACACACACACACACTCATACACTACGGACAATTTAGCCTACCCAATTCACCTGTACCGCATGTCTTTGGACTCTGGGGGAAACCGGAGCACCTGGAGGAAACCCACGCGAAGGCAGGGAGAACATGCCAACTCCACACAGAAACGCCAACTGACCCAGCCGATGTTCTAACCAGCGATCTTCTTGCTGTGAGGCGACAGCACTACCTACTGCGCCACTGCCTTGCCCTCATTAGCCCTCTTGGTTGTGAAAATAAGTACCAAGTTAATATTTATCACATGATATGTATGATATTTTTGTCACAGTGTTTCTTATTATATTTGTTCTTCTAGATAAAGGATTATTATTGGCTGGAATAATTAACAAAATATTAAATGAATGAAATTGCTAAGGTTAATATTATGTAAACTCAGAAGCGAAGAGCAAGATACTCTGGGGTTTTTTCAAGTAGTTTTCTTTATTAACAATCTTCTGGCACGCTGTAGTCATCAAAGACTAGGGTAGTGTTACTCTGTATTTGATCAATTTTAGGGGGCTGCAATGCATGGAGGTGGAGATTTAAAATAGTTTAAAGGTCCTGTGAAATTAAATGTTTTTAAGATGTTAGTAAAAGTTAATTTTAAAGATATCAAGTAGATAATCTAGTGTGCTCCAAAACAGTGACAAAATAAAGTTTAGAAGGTATAAAACTGTCATAATTATCTAAAGCTTGCAGTTTGTCCCCCTTAAATCGATCTTTTTTTTTTTTTTTTGACGCCACCTCATACTTAAGTTTCTCATCAAATATGGACCAATCAAATGCTATTTACAATCTGACATGCCCTGCCCCCTTCAAGATGCTTCTCATTTGCTTTTCTTTTGATGCTCTTGAGCTCAGCCACTCTCACTGGCTGAGCTGTTTTTAAAAAACATGCTATTGGCTGTTTTTAATAAGGGGGAGGGGCTACTATATATCTCACCCTCTCTTCATTTTTCTGTAAAACATTGAATAAAAATGAACACTTTAAAGCACTTTACACTCACAGCACTTTTAATATTGTTGTCTAAACAAGAAAACATTTTCTCAGAATTCTTGATCTGAAAGTAGGGAAAGCAGCATTATTTAAAAATCTTTACCTTATAAATGTCTTTACTGTCATGTACTTCATCCTTGCAGAATAAAAGTATTAATTTCTTCCAATAAAAAAAAAAAAAAACGTTTGATCCAAAATTTTAGCTGAGAGGGAGTGTGTGGATCATAATTTAGCCTGCCTTTGTTTTGAATGGTCATGGTGTTCCTCTCTTCAGCCTACAGGACAGATGAATGTCAGCCCTGGGTTCTCCCCGTGGTGAGGAAAGTGGAGAAGATGATCGCTGATGACCACAGTTTGAACCACGAGTACCTGCCCATCCTAGGCCTGCCAGAATTTCGTTCCAGCGCATCTAAGATCGCTCTTGGTGAAGACAGTCCTGCTATTAAGGAGAACCGGGTCAGAAAAGATCACACTTATTTCACAAACATAATTTTGTAATTGTTTTTTTTCTGTTGTAGGATGCAGGTGTTTGATCGCTTCTTTTACAACTATTTAAATATTTCTTCAGTTAAGCCTCCAAAATATAAAAGTCTCTGGAAATACAATCTACAGTAATCTTAAGAATGAATACTTTTGAATGAATCTATCAAATTTAACAGTAAAGAGATAATTTAAATTTAAAATATAAGTGATGCTCTTTTCATATGTCTAGTCATCAGAAAAATTAAATAGATTGGGGTTTCTATACAAACTTTAGTGATCTATTAAAAAGGATGCCTCTTTTGCAGCAAATCAGCATGTTAGAATGGTTCCTGAAGGATCATTGAGAGTGAGTGACGTTGCTGAAAATTCAGTTTATTGTATACATTGTAAAATGTATTCGAATAGGACATTAGTAAAATGCTAAATTGTATTAGCATTTCATATTACTGATTTTATTGTGTTTTGAATCAAATAATGCAGCCTTAATAAAAATGTAGCAACATGTTAATTGTCTCTCTCACTATTCTATTCTATTCTATTCTATTCTATTCTATTCTATTCTATTCTATGCTTCCTTCCTTCCTTCCTTCCTTCCTTCCTTATTTCCTACCTTAATTCCTTAACTACTTAAATCAAGGCTGGTAATATATATTTGTGATTCTGGAACACAAACTACAGTTGAAGTCAGAATTATTAGCCCCCCTTTGAATTTTCTTTTCTTTTTTAAATATTGCCCAAATGATGTTTAACAGAGCAATTTTCACAGTATGTCTGATATTTTTTGTTCTTCTGGAGAAAGTCTTATTTGTTTTTTTGTTTTTGTTTTTTGGATATAATAAAAGCAGTTTTAATAAAAAAAACATTTTAGGGACAAAATAAGCCTCTTTAAGCCAAGTATTTTTTTCCGATAGTCTACAGAATAAACCATCATTATACAATAACTTGCCTAATTACCCTAACCTGCCTACTTAACCTAATTAACGTAGTTAAGCCTTTAAATGTCACTTTAAGCTGTGTAGAAGTGTTTTGAAAAATATCAAGTAAAATATTATTTACTGTCATCATGACAAAGATAAAATAAATCAGTTATTAGAAATGAGTTATTAAAACTATTATGAATAGAAAAAGGGCGAGGCAGTGGCGCAGTAGACTTCACAGTTTCACGGTTTCCCCCACAGTCCAAAGACATGCGGTACAGGTAAATTGGGTAGGCTAAATTGTCCGTAGTGTATGAAATTCCAGAAATGGGTTGCGGCTGGAAGGGCATCCGCTGCGTAAAAACTTGCTGGATAAGATGGCGGTTCATTCCGCTGTGGCGACCCCGGATTAATAAAGGGACTAAGCTGACAAGAAAATGAATGAATGAATGAATGAATGAATAGAAATGTGTTGAAAAATCTGCTCTCCATTAAACAGAAATTGGGGGAAAAATTAAACAGGGGGGCTAATAATACACTTCAACTGTACTTCATACATTTTTAAGTTTATAAATTATTTAATTAAAGTATATTCATTAAAAATGGAAAAGTCTGAAAGTCTGAAAGCAAAATGAATAAACTTTCCTCTTTTGTATGTTTGTTAGGATTGGGGAATGTTTGGCAGAGAAAAAAACTATTTGAAAATTTGGAGTCTAAGGGTACAAAAATAATCTAAATACAGAGAAAATCACATTTAAAGTTGTCTAAATTGAGTTTTGGTATTTACTTTTATGGCCTTTGTAAAAGTAAATATCTACTTTACTTTAATACTTAAATGTATTGTTGAAAATGTACTAAATATTTTAATGGCACATGATCCATACTTAATATTCTAATGAATTTTGGTATAAAACAAAAATGTATTATTTTAACCCATGAAAGCTTTTTTTTGCCAAAGATATACCCTTGCAACTTAAGACTGGTTTTATGGTTCAGGGTCACATTTTTGGTCGGTAATTACCCAAATTAATTATAGGTTTATTTGCACATTTTATTTTATAGTTTTTTACTGCTGTTTTTTGTTTTTATGTGACGTTTTTGGTTGTTTTTCAGGTAGGGGCTGTGCAGTGTTTAGGAGGTACTGGTGCTCTAAAGATCGGAGCTGAATTTCTTCGCCGCTGGTACAATGGAACTGACAACACAAAAACTCCAGTTTATGTGTCTGCACCAACATGGGGTGAGCAGAAGACCAAGTCACATATAGAAAATCTGTATAACTGCATTACAGCAATACAGATACTTAATTGGCCAGAGTATTTTAACTTGCTGTTTTTATACCAAGTCTGAAATGTATTTTTATAGTTTGGCTTTTGAGAGCTGCTTTTTAAAAGCATTATGTACAGCACTTTGATAAATATTGTCATGACTGCGCAAAAGGCGGATCTGCGTGAATGAGTGTGCAGTTGTACAAACCTGCATTTGCTGACAGACAGTTTGGGCTACTTATCAGAATTATGGGAAGTGTCGGCCTGACAAATTTTAATTGGATGAACATTTTTTAGTCTTATGCCTTACCCAGAATATAAAAATACATACAGTTGAAGTCAGAATTATTTGCCCCCCTGTTTATTTTATCTTTGCCATGATGACAGTACATAATATTTGACTAGATATTTTCAAGACACTTCTATACAGCTTAAAGTGACATTTAAAGGCTTAACCAGGTTAATTATGTTAACTAGGCAGGATGGGTTAAGTCGACAACAATGGTTTGTTCTGTAGACTAGCGAAAAAACATATAGCTTAAAGGGGCTAATAATCTGACCCTAAAATGGTGGTTAAAAAATTAAATACAGCTTTTATTCTAGCTGAAATAAAACAAATAAGACTTTCTCCAGAAGAAAAAAAATATTATCAGACATCATTATCGTAAACCATCGTTTAGGAAATATTAAAAAAAGAAAAAAAGTTCAAAGGGGGCTAATAACTCTGACTTTAAATGTATAAATGCATTTAGATCATTTACTTTAATCTTTACTATTGGAATGTGAAGGGACTTTCAACCAGCACAACAACAAAAAATGTTTCTGAAGACAATCACTTACTGCACCTTTAACTTGTTTGAGTAAATTATTGTGTTTATTGTTGTTTCAATTTCTTAAATGTTAATCATCTTGCATCTTTGGTTGTAGAAAACCACAATGCCGTTTTCTCTAATGCTGGGTTTGAGGACATCCGTCCATACAAATACTGGGACCCAGTGAAGCGTGGACTCGATCTGGCAGGTTTTCTGGGTGACATGGAGGTGAGTAGTGGTTTAAATTCCGTTTGTGTTTTATAGCTGCTTATTTATCAGGTTTTGATAAAAAGTCAACTAAGATCTTTTTAATATTTGTGCAGAAAGAATTC